TAAAACTTTTTTGAAAATTATATAGTTTTTTAAAAAACATTTTTGAAAATTATATATATATAGTTTTTAAAAGAAAATTTTTTAAAAATTTTTATTATATAGTTTTAAAAAATATATACTTTTCATATTTATTATTGTTATTATTTATTATTATTATTATTATTATTTATTATTATTTATTATTTATTTCTTTTTTATTTTCTGTCCAGGGTCAAAAATAAGGTCCAAGATAACCGAGCTTTAATCAGCCCAAAAGTCTAAATGAAACAGTCCAGTAATAGTACAACCAGATGAGGTTTAAGGTTGGAAACCCAAAAATGATGCCAGTCAACAGCGGCCGCACAGGGGGTCAAAGGGTCAAATGGTGCACCGGCTATCCGGGAAAATCGGGACTGCACCATCCCGGGATTCCCGGCTACGTGAACAACGTTAACCTGAAGTACACGAGAACAACCCCGTTTTCATCGGAGCAGGCCACCGGTGAGGTGGATATAAATACCCCACCACGGTACCATCATCGAGGGGAGAAAACCGAGAAAGAACCCAGGATAACATTGAACCATCAACGATCCCAGAAAACTGCCAACACAGTAAACCAAGACACACACAGCCAACAAGCCACAAAAGCACACAACATTGAACACAAAAAAATCGCATCCAACAGATCGAGAACATCAACCAACACAACCAAGCAAAATAATCAAATCATAAAGAGAAAAACAAGGCCCAAAGACCTCGGAGTAAAAGGAGCAGCCGGGAAATCAAAAAGTCGTCGGAAAGGTGAGGGAGTCGAATGGTTTTGGCTCAGATCTACGCCGTTTAAGGGCGGTTTTACGTAATCGGGGCTCGGGGATAGATTTAGGGTGACGAGAGGAGTGTCTAAGTGGTTTTGGATTTTTTACAGCCGCCGGCGGTGGCGGCCGAAGCGGCGGCGTACGGTAGACCAACCACCGGAGTGGGGCCAGCCATCTCCTTCGGTGAGGGGAGCGTGAGAGACTTTGAGAGAAGAGGGATTTTCAAAAAATGGTGATAATGAAGAAGAATTGAGGGTTTTTAGGTATTTATATACTAAGGACCTTTGTGTAAATAAAGGATTTTAAAATCTTTTCCGCATACCCTATAGGTTTGAATCGCAATTCGATTTGGTCACCCACTTCAATTTTACTTCTGAATTTCCAATTTAAACAATTTAGTCGATGCCTATATTTTTTATATTTTATGAATTTGCCACCTAACTTTTTATTTTTACTTTTGCAATTCATTTTAATACTAATTTAATCTATTAATTTCAATTTGTCTCAATTTGATCCTCTAACTTGTTACTTTATTTTATTTTTGAAGTTTTTTGTCTTCATATTTTCTTTATTGCTTTTTAAGATTAATCTTTTTCTAATATTATTTAGTTATTTTTTATTTTATTTTTCTTCTTTTTTCGTTTTCTTTGATTTCTTTTTTATTTATTTTATTTTTATTAATTTTATTCTTTTCCTTAGACTTTTTTTCTCTTTCATTTTTTTGCTTTATTTAATTTTTTTACTTATTTTTTTATTTATTTGTTTTATTTATTTTCATTGTCTTTTTTTCTCTTGATTTAGCATTTATTTACTTTATTCCTTATCTATTTATTTATTTATTTATTTTCTTTCTAACATTTTCGATCTCTTTTTTAGAGAAAGTCCAACCAATCAAATGAAAAACAATTCGAATCGAATATTTTAAGTTTTAATTTTAATTTCAAATTTTTGCAATTAAGACAACCGATAAATTGATTGGTACCGAAAGGACGGTTCAAGGGTGCTAATCCTTCCTTGATTGTAACCGATTCCTGAACCCAACACGTTTCTGGTACAATACAGATCAGGTAAGATTATGTCCTGCCTACCTAAATTCGTTTTAAAATGGTCGGTGGCGACTCCAATTCGTTTAATCCAAGTCGAAGCTCAAATTCGGAACCACCCAAAAGACGGTTTCGACACTCATGAACGTAATCAATCTCAAGAGCAGTCGTTTCATGATCGAGGACAGCAACAAAGTAGTGGTTATCGAGGGCGAGGTTGTGGTAGGAGCTATAATTCTACTAGGCCTCAATGTCAATTGTGTGGTAAGTTTGGGCACATTGTGTAAAAGTGTTATCATAGGTTTGATAGGGATTATGTCGGTGTGACTGGAAATACTACTCGGACGGGTGAGTATTCGAAGATGCCTAGTAGTTATTCGTTTGAGCAACAACAGTCTCAAGCTCATGCACAAGCTTACACCCACTCGGTGCCATCTTTTCTATATTCTGTGTTTGGTTCTATGTAGTCTCCAGTTTTGTATCCAACCACTTCGATGTTTTCTGGTATGCCTTTGGTTTATCAACCCTTGTCATCTTCTCCAGCTTGTTATTCGATACCTGGTGTTCCTATTGGCTTTTCGTCCATTGACTCTCAGTTTAGTTCCACGGTTGGTCAGAATCCTTTCTGACTCTAGTGCCTGCCCCGACTGCTTGTGTTTCCACATTGTCATCTTCTTCCACTCCTCTTTCGGCGATGTCTGCAACACCGTCCATCTGGTATCCAGATACTGGTGCCATACATCACGTGACAAATGATCCTAGTGTAACTCAAGTACTATTTATACAGGAGGTAGTAATTTGCTAATGGGCAGGGTTTCAAATCGTGGTCGCGGTTGCGTTTTCGGTCATTTCGTGTTTACCGCGACTGCGGCCATGGCCGTAGCGGGCGCTATTGAGTGCTATTGCGAGTGTAGCGGGTATATCGAAAGGCCGTGCTACCGCTATTTCGCGGTCTCGGACCGCTATTTGAAACCCTGCTCATGGGAAATGGTGTCGTTGTTAAGATTGCTCATGTAGGGTAGAGCGTTTTGAATTCTAGTGCTAAATCTTTAGTTTTTGCAAGATATGTTACATGTTCATGTTATAAAGAAGAAGTTGCTCTCTGTGTCTAAGTTTACTCGTGATAATGATGTTTTTATGGATTTTCATCCTTATGAATATTTTGTGGATTTTCATCCTTATGAATATTTTGTGAAGGATGCACAGATTCAAACTATTCTATTCAAAGGGAGGCTCACGGATAATGGTCTCTATTAGCTGCTGCCATATACTGAAGAGGAGTCTTATTTCCAGTTGAACACCATGTCTAAGTCTCAAGAGTCTTTGGAGCTATGGCACAGACGTTTGGGTCATGCTTCTCTTGAGGTGGTGAAGTCAGTAATGAGAAATTGTAATGTTGCTTCTAGTGAGAATAAGTTGTCATATGAGTGTAGTGCATGTATGCAAGGAAAGGCTTATCGTTTGCCTTTTTGTAACTCTTTGACTAAATATAAAAAAGCTTTTCAATTGGTTGTTTCAGATGTGTGGGGCCAACACCCATTACTTCCTCGGATGGTTTCTTATGTTATGTCTCTTTTGTTGACGTTTTCTGTAGGCATACTTGGGTGTATTTACTCAAGCAAAAATATGAAGTTGCTTAATTTTTTTTTTGAATTTTTTCAAAATGGTTGAAGTGAAATTCGGGTGTAAGGTTAAGGCTCTTCAAACGATGGTGGAGGTGAATATCAAGCGTTAAAAGGTTGGTTTGTTGCTAATGGAGTTCAACACCGAATTTCATGTTTGAGCACTTCTGAACAAAATGGCAGTGCTGAACGAAAACATAGGCATATAGTTGAGATGGGATTGGTTATGTTGGCTCAAGGTTTTCTCCTTGAAAGTTTTGGAGTCATGCCTTTGTGTCTGTTGTTTACTTGATTAATAGATTACCCACAAGGGTGTTAGATGAAAAAACACCTTTTGAAACTCTTTATCAAAGACTTCCAGATTACTAATTCATGAAGGTATTTAGGTGCGCTTGTTTCCCTATTTTAAGATCTTTTAATCAACATAAGTTGGAATATAGGTCCAAGAAATGTGTGTTTCTTGGTTACAGTCCTTCTCACAAGGGGTGTAAATGCTTTTCCTTATGACGTGTGTAAGGTTGTTATTTCGAGGCATGTAGTTCTTGACGAGAAAACTTTTCCTTATGACGTGTGTAAGGTTGGCTGCAAGTCTGGCCATGCAAGTCTTGATTGTGTCAGTTCTATGTCATAAGGAGTGTTACCTGTTGTTGTCTCTCCAAGAGTTGTATCAGCAGACGGGTAGCTGAGTCTTCTACACGAGTTAATCTTGAGTCAGTTCTTGTTCTTGAAGCAGCTGTGGATGTTTCTCGGTCTTCGGTTGAGTGTGAGGGTGGTCCAATTTCACCTATAAGTGCTCGCACGGGTGTTGAGTCTGCTCCTGACTCTACTTTAAGGTTGCCTACAAGTTATGGTCTTTGCAAACTAGAGTGCTTGAACAATTTCAGTTCGAGCCTACGTTGGGTGACCAGCCTCAACCTGTCCCTGCGTTAGGTCAGTCTTTGTTTGGTGATTGTGGTCCACTAGTTGTTGTTAATGGCGATGTTGGGGGCTGTTTTTCACTACTAATTCTTTTGTTCATGATCAGTCGTTGTCTACTGGTATTAATTTATTTGTGGATAATGGACTGCAGGTGGCTATTCCAAGTGCTCATAATATTCATCCCATATAGACTAGGGGTAAAAGTGGGAAAGAAAACCTAAAATTTTCCAAGTTGCTTGTGTTAACAAGGAACCTACTACTATAAAAAAAGCCATGATAAGTCCTGCTTGGAAGGCTGCAGCACAATAGGAATATAATGTTTTGGTCAAAAACAATCCTTGGACGCTGACTCTCTTCTTGTTAACAGGAAAGCTGTTAGTTGTAAATGGGTTTTTAAAATCAAACGAAATGCAGACAGTTCCATTTCCAGGAACAAGGCTCGGCGGCGTGTAGCAAAGGGTTTTCTTCAACAACCTAGTATTGATTTTCACGAGGTTTTCAGTCCATTAGTTAAACCATAACTGTTCGAGTGATATTTTCACTTGCTCTTGCGAAATGATGGTTGTTGAGCTAGGTGGACATTAATAATGTTTTTAAATGGTGTTCTATCTGAGGAGATGTACATGACGCAGCCTCCAAGATATGAGCAAGAAGATGGTAACTTAGTATGAAAACTGAATAAAGCAATCTATGGCCTAAAGCAGGTGCCTCAAGCGTGGTATGAAAGGCTAAAGAGTTATTTGGTGTCTGTAAATTTTGTGGAAGCAAGGTCATATTCATCTTTTTGTCAGGAAGACTGAGGATCGTGTGGTCTATTTGTTGGTCTACGTCGATGACATTATTCTCACTGGCAGTTATGCTGATGAAGTTCATACTGTTGTCAATAAACAGAATGCACAACTCTCTTTAAAAGATCTTGGTTCCCTTAGTTTTTTCTTGTGGATTGAAGTTTGTTATGGGGCTGATGGTTTGATTCTAAGCCAACAAAAATATGTTCATGAGTTGCTCCAAAGGAGTGGTTTCGAATGAGTCAAAGGTCTTCCTACTCCTATGGTAGTAAGTTGTAGGTTGTCTACTAGTGAAGGCACACCTATTAGCAATGTTGCTCAGTACAGAAGTATCATTGGAGCTTTACAATAAATAGTGATTACTCGACAGGACATAGCCTTTGCTGTGGATAGGGTGTGTCATTTCATGCAGGCACCTCGCGATGTTCATTTTCAAGCTGTGAAGAGAATTTTGCGATATTTGTAAGGGTTTGTTGATCATGGTTTGAAGTTCACTCCTTCTCAAATGTCCGTGACTGGGTTGATTGATGCAAATTGGGGATCTGATGTGGATGATAGACTGTCCACTTCAGGTTTTGTATCTTTTTGGGGGTAATTTGGTGTCTTGAAGCTCTCGCAAGCAACAAGTTGTGGCACTCTTCATTGCCGAGGTTGAACATAGGAGTGTCGCTTTCACAGCAGCTGAAATAGCTTGGATTGAGTCTCTAGTTGAGGAGTTACACATTGTTTCACAGCGCTGTGGCGGTTTGTGCTAATCCCGTTCTTCATTCGAAGTTTAAACATGTTGAACTTTTTTTTTCTTTGTTCGAAAGATGATTGCTGCTGGGAAGCTTCAAGTGCATGAAGTTTCAGCTTATGAACAGGTAGTTGATGTTTTTACTAAAGCCTTGTCTTTACTTTTGTTTCTTAAGCACAGGCAGAAGCTGTTGGTCAGACAATTGGCAGTGCACAAGGCTGGTTCAGACGGGTTGAGCAGGCGAGGGAATTGAAGGTTTAGAATGTAAGGGGAATGTTAGCATAATATTGTATGTGTTTGTTTTCTATTGCATGCATTGGTTTACTGTTGTATTCGAATTGTTACTGCTGTTGTTTCTGGTTTAGTGACTGTCATGAGTTGGTTACGAATCTGTCAGGGTTCTGTTGTTACAGTTCGCTAGCTGAGCTCAGTAGTCCTTTAAAAATTCTGTATAAATTGCTGGTCTCTTGTTGAGAGATTTTACAGCTTATTAATAAAATGGCAAAGAGCAGTGGCTCTCTTTTCCTGTCATCTTCTTTCTTATTTTCAGTATAGCTAGAGTGCTATCTTAACTTGATTATCTTGGAATGTTTGTAGGCTTAAAAATCATGTAATCTATCACATTCTAAATTCAAGTCGTAGAATCAGGTGTTTGATTGGATAATTGGTTCAATTTTTTTTTTTTGAGTGGAAAGAGATCTAGACGATTATTAAGGTCTTGCATGTATGTAGGGGAGACCAACAAATTCTCGGAGCAGATCGGGAGGAAATGATGAGATGACCGTAATTAAACATGTGGAGAGGGGTTCATCTTGACAAGGAAATTGGCTACGGTATTTGCTTCTCGGGTAGATTTTCTGCAATCAGGCTTTAGCATAAAATCCAACAATCGCACTTGCTAGCGAAAGGACTAGTAGCAATCGCTCTATTTAAATTCCTGAATATTTATGTCAAGTGTTGAATAATCTAATTATGTTTTAAAATGGTATCGAAGTTTATTTATGATTTGAATTTAAGAAAATTTTCGAAATAAATATTTAAAATTAAAAAGAGTAAAATATTAGAGGGTCAAAGCTTGTAAGTTCCCAAAAACTAATCATACCATTGTTTCAAACGTTAGTTATTTCCATCTATTTTTATGTCAAATTTTAATTAATTTCTTCTTCAAATTTCCTAAATCATTTTAGTTAATCATTTTTTTATTAGGGTAAATTACGCATTTAGTACATAAATTATCAATTTTGACTTGTTTTAGTACCTAAAGTTTTACGTTTTTCAAAATCATACCAACATTTAGTTTTTGTTTCCTTTTAGTACCCGTCGTTAAAAACTTAATACATTTAGCACCCAAACTATCAGTTTGATCAGTTTTAGTACCTAAACTTTCGTTTTCTTCCAAAACTTAAGTATGGTTTAGGTACTAAACCTGGTTTAGTACCTAAACTTTCAATTTTTTCAACACTTAAGTTTTGGTACTAAAAATGAAATAAAAACTAAATTTTAGGTATGATTTTGATTTTTTTTTAAAGTTTAGGTACTAAACATATCAAAACTGATAGTTTAGATACTAAACGCCCTTTTTATTATTTTAAATCATAACTAGCTCATCTTTTTTTCATAATTGATTTTCTAAATCTCAAAATCCACCTTAAATTCTCCAAATTTCTTCGCCTTCTCCAAAGATATTTTCTCTTGATTTTCATGCAAACTTTCACAATTCCGTTTGTCATAACCATTTTTCTGTAAAACAATTAAATATTATTTTTAAAAACAATTATGACTTTAATTTGGAAAAAATGGGTGATTTTGAATTGATTTGAATAAAATTAAAAAGAGTCGCCATCAACCTTTGTGTTAGGTAGGTTGAATACCTAAAAAAGTCTTTTAAAACAATTTTAAGAAAAATCATTTTTTAAGACAAATTCGGTCTGCGTTACCAAAGATTCATTTAAATGGATTCGGGAGTCGGTTACGTGCGGGGAAGGGTAAACACCCCCACAACGCCCAAAATTGGTACTGTGTCGCTTACACATCGTTGTAAATGGTGGAAATTATAAATCAAATATAAAGTTAAAATATGATCTATTTATCGAACGTTGATTAATTTGCTTCGAATTAAATAATTAGAGAAATTCTTTAACTCGAAAAGAATCTCGAAATTAGCAATCCTCCATCGGGAAAGCTAACTCGACTATTTCTCATCCATAAAGATATTTCCCTCTTGATAAAATGTGAATCGAATATATAATAAAATTGACGTTTGTATACAACAAAATAAATTGATTAACTAAAACTGAATCGCAAATAAGATGGAAAAAAAAAATTTTGAAGTTTATATTTCATAAAGTAAAATAAATTACTATTTAAAATAACACACATTGCATCATTTGCACAAATTAACAAAATATATTCAACTTATTTTAAATTATGTCGTTAAAATGCCGTATCGGATCACCACTTCGACAAAGTGATACTTCCACGCTCATTCTACGCATACGTGTTCTTAAAAGTATTTGGACAATTTAAATAAGGAAAAATGGAATAAATAGAAATAGAAATATGTGAAATAAATACAACAAATAAAATTAAACTATTTAATTACATATAGTACAAAAGATACTAACATGAAAATGTACATACATAGGGGATTAAAATAAAAGAAAATTAATATTACAAACCAAACTATATGACAAAAAAAAGTACTTTGAATTAAAAAACCCAAAATATCAACATAAACTCAAAGGACCAAATAGTACAAACATGAATTTCAAAGGACTAAATGAAATAATAGAAATAATGGATTAATCGGTAAATAAAAAACAGAGCCAAAATCAAAATATTAACATTTACAAGCACTAGAAATGAAAATAAACCATAAACAACATCTAGGACTAAACTGCAATAACCAAAAACATGAAGGCCGAATCATTATTAAACCAAAAGTAGATAATGACTAAAATAATAGATTTATAACTATCATAGCCAAATTTGAATATCAGAGAAAGTACACAATACCTAAGATCAGTGACTAAATATAATATTTAAATGTCAGAGATAAATTCGAAACTCAGCCAAACATAACATATAAACTCAGGGGCTAAATGAAACTACAAACATTGGGACCAAAGTCAATATCCACAAAAATGACATAACATACATTAGTAGGACTAAAATATAAACAAAGAAACATAGATGCCCAAAACAAAATAAAATAAAATAGACATTAAACCAAACATCAAACAATGACTAAAATAGAATATATACGATATGATGACCAAACTCAAATAACAGTAAAGATAAAAATGCATGGGATCAGTGATTAAATTAAATATTTGAAAATATTAAATCCAGAATCAATATGACAAATATATATAACATGAACAGGGACTAATATATAACATTTGCAAATTTCAGGACCAAATCCGAATATCAAAGGAAAATGCACATAAACTGAAACAATGACTAAAACGAATAAATATAAATATCAAAACCAATTATAATATCAGCAAACATAATATACAAATTAATGACTGAAATGCAATCATTAAAACTAAAAGGCTCGAAATAAAACAATAATAATTTCATTAAATGACTTAAATAAAGCATTACAAAGGAGAAGGGACCTAAACTGTAGTTACCCCATGCTTGCAAAACACGGGTGCCCAGACCCTTGAAACGGCGCCGTTTGGTCAAATTATAAGCCCAAAAACGGGCATTCACTCATCCATCCTCATTTGCCTCCCATCCAAAGAAAACAGAAGTGAGAGAGTTTTAAAACTCTCTCAACTTCTTTCCCATCGGGGAAGAAAGGGCCGCCTCAAACCGGCGGCTATCCCGGAGGCCCATGACGGCCGGCACGGCAGTGCCCGGCGGTCGGAGGAAGTAAACAGTCTCAAAAGACCCCCTCCGTTACCCTCAACCCGAAAATCACCCCTACCTAACCTAAAACCGACCTTAAACCCTTAAATCCAAGGTACCTTTTGAGAAAACAAGAAACCGGTGACCCTTCCTCCTCTCGATAACTTCTCCGATCAAGGTATGGTCTCCTCCCTCTCTATTTCCCTCTTGGTTTTTTTTATTTTTTTTGTTTGGTTCGAGTAGATCTCTTTTTTCTCGTTTTTTTTTCTGTTTTTTTTTTCCCTGAACCCGAATGAAATCCCCCCTTTTCTCTACTGCATGTGCTTTAATCCTGCCTTTGGTTGAGATGATGAGGTCTAGGAATAGGGGAAATTATGGGTTGTTGATTTAGGGGTGATTGAATCCCGGATTTCGGGATTATAGGGATTTTTTATTTAGGGTTTGGATATATATTTTTACTGATTTGGGTTGATTTGGGATTGATGGGGTTGCTGTTTGATTGATTTTTCACTGTAGATGACGATGGTGGCGCGGGAACGGCGGCTGGACCATCGGAGTGAGCCGGAACAGTGACGGTGGCGTGGTTGTTCATCCGTTGTTGGCGGCGGCGGCTGGATGATGATATTTAGGGTTTGGTTTCAAACCCTAATTACTTTGGGTTATTGAGCGGGCCTGGGATTGGTATTGGGCCTGAACCGGGTTTGGGCTCCCAGTCTTGTAATTCTGCTGTTGGGCTTAGGGATTAGGCCTGCAAAAATTGTAATAAAAATAATAAATAATAAGATAACGATAATAATAATAATAATAATAATAAAATAACGGAAAAAAACCCGGACAAAAACGGGTGTCTACACCGTTCTTTATCTTCAATTAAAGTAAGATTTCATCTATTCATCACTTAAATGAGTGATGTTCTTTTTAGATCAAAATTTGATCCTTCAAAATGTGATATTCAATTTAATAGATCCTTTTATATGAGATTTTGATCGAAAATGATTATTTTTGTTTTGTTCGATTAAACTTTTTAATAACACTTAAGAAAACTCATTAAATTCTAGAATTCTCATTTCGATTTATCAAAGTAAATTTAGAAATCTCTTAATAATATCAAAAGAAATATACAATTGTTTAGAAACCAAAGATTAATCAAGCAAAACAAAAATCATCATTTCATATTAAAATCTCGTATGAAAAAAATTATAAAATAGGTAATTTAGAAGGACCAATATTAATTTAAAATGTAAAATCACACAAAAAAATTGATTAGAAATATAATCTTACAATTGAAGAAGGAAAACATGATTGAAGCGGATTCCCAAAAAAAATCAATGAATGAAAAGCTTTGAAGAAGATAAAGAAAATAGAGAGTTTTTGAGAGGATAAAAGATGTGTTAGAATGAGAT